TGGGCGCTCTGGGCTGCGGCCCAGGGGCCGCTGCGCGGTTGGAGGAGCAGAGTCTCCTCGTCCGCCATCTTGGAACAGCAACCGCCGCCTCCCCCAGTCCGGCGCACCAGCGCCTCAGCTACAGCCCCCTTCCCCGATCCCCCCCGCCCTCCAGGGAGAGATTTAAACCCTGCACGTGACCTCACCGCCGCCCACGCGGGCACCCTCCCCGCAGAGGCCGCAACAACAACAAACTGGGTCACGTGAGGGGAAGGGATAGGGTGGGAAATGCCGCCGTCACGTGACCCCGGTACAAAGGCTGGGCGCACCTCGCCGATGCCCTCCACCCCCTCACGTGACCTACTAGCGGGGTAGCTTGCCGGGGCTTTGCCAGTGCGAGGCGTTATGTAAGGGGAGCGCGGGAAGGGGCGGGGCTGCTGGAGGCGTGAGCAGCTGGGATGTTGTGCGGGGCAGGAGGAAGCGCTGTAAGGGCACGGATGGAGCAGGCCTTAGGGGTGGGGAGGTGAGAAAGAAAAAGCAAATGGTCCCACAGAGTAGGGGAGAGGGGCTGAGAACGAAGGGGAGCACCCCAAAGCGATCAGCCCAGTGAGGGCTGCAGAGGATGGACAGGAGGTGCCACTATTTTTAATACAAGTTGGAGGAGGGAGTGGTGTTAAGAAATCAGAAGGCTTGCATTACAGCCAGAGCTGTAGAAGTTTAATTAAGGGTGTGTTTAAAAGTTTATCGTTTTAGATGCTTATTCATCTGAGTATTTGTTTAATTTAAACTGTGTTTTGCAAGATTTAAACTAACCCCCCAAATAAACCACTGCTAAATATAAATATTATGTATGCATATGCAAATGTGCACAGATTTAAGTAAATCAGTTTTAAAACACACCTGCAATTAAACTGTTACCAGTTTGTGCAGGCAAGCTTAAAATCACTGGGATTCCTGTTTTCATCAAAGTAGGAGAAAAAGGAAAACCTGGTTGAAGAAGGAGAGAGAGAATTGCCAACCCTGTGTATTAAAAAAATCTGAGTGGCTTAAAAATGAAACTTTTTAAAACCCCAAAATATATACATTTTCCTTGTTGCTTTTTGAGCCTCTTGTTTTCCTGCTTTTCTCTGTATCCTTTAAGGCTACAGATTCACATTAATTTTTTTAAAATACAAGCTAAGATTCTCAGGATATACCTGCAGGAGATGATCTAGTATTATAAGACTTTTTATAAAATTATGAGCTGGCAATACGATGAATGTTACACTCTTCATAAGGTCATGGTTTTCTACAAATAGTAACAGGCATTGCTATTAGTGTACTTTGGGCATATCTATGTTTTGTGGCATAGCATGACTGTGGTACTCTTAGGCGATGTCTAGACTGCAAGCCTCTTTTGAAAAAGAGCATCTAGACTACAAACAGTACTTTCAAAAAAGCAAGCCGCTTTTTTGAAAGAGAGCACCCTGGCAGTCTAGATGCTTTTTTCGAAAAAGCACAGTTTGCATTACATAGCGCCTTTTTTTAGAAAGAGCACTTTCAAAAAAAGGCGTTAATCCTTGTAAAATGAGGTATTCCGTGATCAAAAAAACTGCTGCATTCTTTTGACTTGCATTTTTTCAAAAGTATCAGCAGTCTAGATGTGGGGAAATTTTTTTTTTAAAAGACCACTTCTTTTTAAAAAGCCCTGTTGTCTAGACACACCCTTAGTGTAGACACTTCATATGTTGATGGAAAAGGGTTTTTCATTGATGTAGATCAGTGGTCTCCAACCTTTTTAAACATGAGATCACTTTTTGAATTTAAGTGCAATCCAGGATCTACCTCAAACCCAAATACCCCTGCCTTGTCTCCTTCCCGCCCCTTCTCTGAGGCCCCGCACCTGCTCACTCCATCCTCCCTCCCCCATTCTCATTCTCTTTTATCAGGCTGGGGGCAGGAATTTGGGGTGCAGGAAGGATTTAGGACGGGGGCTGGGGTTCAGAATGCAGGTTCCAGCTGGATACTTCTTACCACAGGTGGCTTCTTGGTGGTGGTGCAGGGGGCTAAGGCAGGCTCACCCCTGCCCTGGTCCTGCACCACTCCCAAAAGCAGCCATCAAACTCTCTCCATCCCTGTCCCCCTCTGCTCTGTGGAGATGGGGTACAGGGTGGAGGGAGGGGCACCCTGAGATCAGTACCCCCCTTCCTCTTCTTCCCGTGCCCTGCACAGCAAGCAGGAAGCTCCCATGGGTGGGGGGCAGTTCCAAGGCTGGGGGAAGGAGCAACAGGATAGCACTTAGAGGGGAAGCTGAAGTGCTGGCACTTGATAGTCTCCCGGCCAAACCTCTCAGGATCACCTGTCAAAGGCTCCAAGATCTACCAGTAGATCCTAATCTACTTGTTGGTGACCACTGATATCCACCTTCCCTAACAGCAGTAGCTAGGTTTGATAGAATTTTACTCTGATCATGCCACCGCCAAGAGTTAGGTCAGCTTAACTAAAGCAGAAAAAGCCACTTCTTTTTAAAAAGCCCTGTTGTCTAGACACACCCTTAGTGTAGACACTTCATATGTTGATGGAAAAGGGTTTTTCATTGATGTAGATCAGTGGTCTCCAACCTTTTTAAACATGAGATCACTTTTTGAATTTAAGTGCAATCCAGGATCTACCTCAAACCCAAATACCCCTGCCTTGTCTCCTTCCCGCCCCTTCTCTGAGGCCCCGCACCTGCTCACTCCCATCTTCCCTCCCCATCCTCATTCTCTTTTCTCAGGCTGGGGACAGGAATTTGGGAGGCTGGGGACAGGAATTTGGGGTGCAGGAAGGATTTAGGACGGGGGCTGGGGTTCGGCTACTTGGTGCCTGCCTGTCCTGGGGGCACCATGCTGTGCTCCAGAAGCAGCCAGCACAGGGGTGAGCAATAATTTTTAATGGGGGAACACTCCAAGAATTTGGTAAGTGGTCAAGGGCTATAGAAGGGAGCTCAGGATAGGAGACTGGGATGCAGGAGGGGGTGTGAAGTCTGGGAGGGAGTTTGAGTGAAGGAGAGGATTGTGACCTGGTTCAGTGCATTGGCATGCAAGGTCAGGTAAGGGGTATGAGTGTAGGAAGGGGTGTAGGAGAGGGTGCAAGGGTTTGGGTTGTGATCTAGGGCACAGAGGCTCATTTAACTGTACATTCACTAATGTGATCTATGCCATCAAATGCCAGCAATGCCCCAGTGCAATGTATATTGGGCCAAATCGGACAGTTTCTATAGGAAAGAATTAATGGACACAAATCAGATATCCAAAAAGGCAACACATAAAAACCTGTTGGAGAACACTGTAATCTTCCTGGACACTCATTAATGGATCTCCAAGTCGCTGTTTTGTTTGACCAATTCCACAAGCCAAATACACAGAGAAGGACTGGAGCTTAACTTCATTCCCAAGTTTAATTCTTATACTAATGGCTTTAATTGTGATATCAAACCAACCAAACAATGAAGGTGCTAATGGTTCTTAATGTCTGTGTAGAATCTGGCGTTGTTCATTTTCCTTTCCAAGTGCAAGCTAATGGTTCTTATCAGCCTCTTATAATTATTTAGTCAAGATGCTATTAGGGTATGTCTACACTAGCTCGTTAATTCAAGGTAGGCAGGCAATTGAAGCCCGGGATATAAATATCCCGGGCTTTATTTGCATGTTCCCATCTGGTCGCCATTTTGAAATTTCACTATCCCAAACTCACTGCCGCACGGATACACGCAGCAGTGAAACGTTAATTCGAACTAAGTCTTTAGTTCGAATTAACTGTTACTCCTTGGGACTTAGTTTGAATTAACATTTCACTGCCGCATGTAGCCGCGCGGCAATGAGTTCGGGCTAGTGAAATTTCAAAATGGCAACCAGATGGGAACATGCAAATAAAGCCCGGGATATTTATATCCCGGGCTTCAATTGCCTGCCTACCTTGAATTAACGAGCTAGTGTAGACATACCCTAATAGCATCTTGACTAAATAATTATAAGAGGCTGATAAGAACCATTAGCTTGCACTTGGAAAGGAAAATGAACAACGCCAGATTCTACACAGACATTAAGAACCATTAGCACCTTCATTGTTTGGTTGGTTTGATATCACAATTCAAGCCATTAGTATAAGAATTAAACTTGGGAATGAAGTTAAGCTCCAATCCTTCTCTGTGTATTTGGCTTGTGGAATTGGTCTGAAACAAAACAGCGACTTGGAGATCCATTAATGAGTGTCCAGGAAGATTACAGTGTTAAGAATATCTTTATTATTCCCAAGAAATTAAAAAGGCCCAACAGCAGTGACCATAATCAAAGAATGAGCACTATACTTTATATTGTTAATCCTGTGTATTACTCTTCATATAGTTGTAACTAGGGATGTGAATGACTAGTCGCTTCTCCTCTCCTCCCTCCCCCCCTCCTGCTTGCTACTTCAGAAAAAGGCAGCAAGGTGTGGGGGGACAAGGTGCTTCAAAGTGGCAGCGCTGTGTGGAGCCCAGGGCCAGATGGGAGTCCTCAGCTGGCCCCGGGCTGCACGTGGCATTTCAAAGTGACAGCACCATGTGGAGCCCGGGGTCACCTGGGACTTCTTGCTGACCCCAGGCTCCACTTTGAAATGCCATGTGGAGCCTGACACCAGGCTCCCTGCAGTGTTTCAAAGCGGCAGCACCGCATGGAGCCTGGAGTCAGCCAGGGACTCTGAGTCCCCGGCTGACCCCAGGCTTCATGCAGCGCTGCCTCTTTGAAATGCTGCGGGGAGCACAAGGCCCTGCTTGAGTCCCCTGCTGGCCCCGTGCTCCTCACAGTGCTTTCTCCTTTACACAGAAGGTGGATGCGCCCTTATTGACTAATCGAATAGTTGATGTACATTGCATCAACTACTCGATTTGCCAATTAATTGAAATTTTACATCCCTAGTTGTAACATTGTGGTATATACAAGTGACACAAAAAAGCTTAAAAGAATGTGATGGTAATGTATTTTCCTACCCTGTGTGATCCTACAAAGATCAAGATGAAATCCTGGCCCTATTGAAGTCAGTGGCAAAACTCTGGGATTTCATTCTGAGAAAGTTAGCAATCCTGCAATTATAATTTAAATTAGTAGCTATGCTCTTCCATACTTGATGCATATTTCCCCTGTAAAAATTGAGGCAATAATTATAGTCTATAGTGGAAGGAAAAATTATTTTACTAGATTTAAGGCTAAGTCCAGCATGTGCATAATCTCACTGAAATCAGTAGGACTACACTTGCTTAAAAATAGACCTGTGCATAAGTCATAGCAGGATCCAGGCCTGAAATGATATTGAACATTTTATTTGGCATCCTGAATGCTTTTCAGTCTGAAGAGGCAGATCATACAGTTAAAAAATATTTAAATTACCTTGAAAACTACAAATCCCAGAGAGCATTGCAGATACTAGGCTTGTGCAAGGTTACAGTCCTCCTGTGAAGAGCCAATAACAAACAGAGAATTCAGGAATCTCAGATGACATCTCACTGTATTAAAAAGAGCTGTAGGGAGCCTTAAACCAGACTGCAAAAGGCAGTTTTCCCTGGGCTACATTTAAATGAGCCTATAAGCTTTCTATTGACAATTTATACTTTCCAGTTGGTGTGCATCAGCTGTTGGGGGTGGGAAAAGCTGTTTGACTATTTAAATGGACGCAGTTTTGAATTGCAAGCTGGATGAAATGGAAGATTATTACATCTTGCTAGGATGTGATGAACTATCCACGGTAAAAGAGTAATTATGTTTTATTTGCCATGTGAATTATAGTTTGTTTTGGGTTTGTGTGCTTTCAAGGGGAGTTTGAAGTTAATGTTTATCTGTGAATGAATAATTATTTGAAATACAACATGTGTGATGTCAGAATGCAGTTTGAAACACTTGTAAAATTACTTGTTATTTGTAGGCTGTTACACAGTATATTGATGCTCTTCATAGGTGACAGCGGATAAGTACTGTCAGTTTAATTGGTATAAGAAACTTGAAAATGTTATTCTCTTTGTTAATAATTAGTAATTATATTCAATTTTAAAGATATTCAGATATTTCTGGAAAATACAACCATTGTCCGTGGGAGAAAATGTGTTGAAAACCTTGCCCCAGCTCTCTTTTCTACCCCCAAAATACTGTTCAAATGCTAATTTTCTAGACTCTCTTTGGTAGGTGCATGTCATCTCATGCCTAAGGATAAAATCTGTCTGAAAAGGTGCTCAATGATTGTAACTAAAACAATAGTAACTCTATTTCCTAATGTTGTCCTAAATTACATTTTCTAATTATGCAAATTCAAGAACATGCGAATTGAAGTAGTATTTTTAGGCTTTTTATTTTGTAATATTTCTATTATATTTGTTAATATATGAGTTATATGTTTGTTTTCCAAATGTAATTATGTACTTCAAAAATATTTTATCATTAATATAGACATAAGTCCTTGATATACATCAAACCCATATGTAAATATAGTTAGAAAAATATTTAAAAATGAGTAGTCCTGTTGCACCTTAGACACTAACAAAAATATACCTCAAGTTGCATTCTTAAATCTATTATTGAAAACAAGTTTAAATAGTAATTTTGAGACATTCCAGTAGGTGGCAGTACAAATTTTTTTAATTTCAGCTTTATTTCAGCTTTTTTTAAACAGATGAATAAGGTTAATACATTAATTCTGTTTTATAGTCTTAGGCAGAGATGCACATTTCAAGCATATACTGTAAACCTTTTTTAAAATTACCTTGAAGTGAAAAATAATGTGTTTTGTAATATCTGCCTACTGGTTCTGAATAGTAATATGTTACACATTATTCAGAGATGCAACAGGATACTCTTAGTTTACTGTTGCCTAATGCAAGGGTGGGGAAGCTTTTTGGGGTTGGGGGCCACAGACCCACAGAAAAATCAGTTGGGGGGCACACAACAAGTGAGAAGCAAAACAAGAAAAACAAACCCACATTGTCGTGGCCCCTGACTGAGAAGGAGAAAGACACTCCCAATATTCCTCTTGCACACCAGAGCCTAGGGGCCCAGGCTAGTAGATTTTGAGTGCTCCAGCACTGCTGTGGGGCAGCGGGGAGAGGGGGAACTGGAGCACCAGCGCTGGCTCCCCAATGCTGGATGGGGGGAACCCTGAGTCTTGGGGGCCATATCCAGGCAAGCCAGGGGCCGACTGGCCTAATGAATATTGGTTGTCTGTGGGAGACTGTGACTCATCTGAGTACTACTGTTATGTCTATATGGGAAAACATTTTTTTGCTAATTTTAAATCATGGCAATATTTTCAACATTTAAAATATAATCTCTATTGTCACCTTCATAATGAAAACATTGAAAATATAGTTGAAATATTTATAGCAATATAGGCTCCCATGCTTTCTCTTCCATGCATGCAATTGCTGTATTTTTTAACTTGTAATTTATTAGATTTAAAAACTGAAGGTACCAAACTAAAGTGTGTACATACAAAGAGTAATAAGGTGCAACAATGCAAAATATACCATTTGTAAAAGCACTGTAGCTGTCTTTTGTTTTCCAGGCTATTTGCTTTCTAAAATAGGACTGCCCAGTTGAATGATACAATATTTTGCTTTAAAATAAAATCACATAATGCTTAATTCTCAATACATCTCAGAAGTTTGTGTTACAGAAAATGAAGGGAAGTGGTAAGGATTTGCATAAAACTGCCAAACTGAAAAAAAAATCCTTTTGGTTAAACAGTAACTTACTACAAGATGTTATCAGAGTTTGAGTTTCACTGGAATAGCATGAAAATGTTTAGCAGTCTAGAGCACAGTTCAGGAGCTAAGTTGAAAATGTGTTAAAAGCCTCAAATTGGTCCCCAATTCCAGTTTGTTACTGAATGAGTTCTTAGCCTGTTTCTAAAGAGTTAAACTGCCATTAAAATTCTGCATTGGCATAGCTGTACCAATAAAGCCTTGCTGCTGTCACATTTTAATGAAGATGCTCTCTGCTGACCCCAAGAGGAACTAGCTATATTGGTGGACAAAGCTTCTGCTAACATAGCACTGTCTATACTGGGGGTTAGATTAGTATAACTATGTCACTTGGGGTGCTGTAATTATACCATTATAGGTCTGTAGCATAGACCAGACCTAAGTGGTATTTAGAGGCGTGTGGTGCAATTGTTAATTTTTTGGCTATAATAACTACAGTAAAACTCCATTAATCCGGCATCCAAAGCTCCGCTACTCCTGATGGTCCGGCACCATCAGGAACCCGGAAGTGCTGGGGCAGCCGGACAGGCTTTCCCCATTCAGCTGCTGCTGAAACTGACCAGCAGCTGAATCCAGACCTAAGTGGTATTTAGAGGCGTGTGGTGCAATTGTTAATTTTTTGGCTATAATAACTACAGTAAAACTCCATTAATCCGGCATCCAAAGCTCCGCTACTCCTGATGGTCCGGCACCATCAGGAACCCGGAAGTGCTGGGGCAGCCGGACAGGCTTTCCCCATTCAGCTGCTGCTGAAACTGACCAGCAGCTGAATCAGGGAAGCCGGGAGCAGAGCAGCTGGGGTGCTGCTGGGTTGGTCTGGTAGCG